AAATGGAATATTGAAAATCGACAGTGGGAAAGATGGGGTAAACATGAAGTGGTATTAAAAAAGTTTGATAATTTTGCAAATTTAAATAAAGAATTCTTAAATGAGGTAAAATATTGTAAATTTTGTTTCTAAATTTTATTATATATTAACTATAAACTAAAAAATTTATATTTTTAGATGGTCGTTCACTTAAAAACAAAGAATATTGGTTCAATTCTATTTTATGGAATTACGCAAGATCCAGAAACACACAAATATATTATGGTTTTAGATTATGCTAAAGGTGGAAATCTTAGAGATTACTTAAAAAATAATTTTAATAATATAAATTGGATAATGAAATTAAAATATTTGTATTATTTATCACTTGATTTTCGAAATATTCATGAATTAGACATACTTCACCAGGATTTTCATCCTGGAAATATTTTATCTTATAATTTTAATGAAGCATTTAATACACGTATTTCGGATTTTGGATTAAGTAAAATAGTTGGACAAAATCCAAATAATCCTGAAAAAAAGAATATTTTTGGTGTATTACCATATGTAGCTCCAGAGGTATTAGGTGGAGAAGAATATACAAAAGCTGCTGATGTATTTTCTTTTGGAATAATAGCTTACGAAATAGTGACAGGTCTTCCCCCATATTATGATATACCACATGACAAAGATTTAGCCATAAAAATATGCAATGGATTACGACCAAAAATTCCATTCTACACTCCAAAATTAATTATCAGAATGATTATGAGATGTTGGGATGCTAGAGTTACTCATAGACTTACTTTTAAAAAATTGCGTGAAGAGATGTTTAAATACCCGTATGATTATGCGAGAAATGACTTTAAAAATAATAACAAAATTACAATTCAAATCAAAAATGCCGAAGAATATTCTACACCAACCAATACAACAATTACAACTCCACTCAATTATTAAACACACCCACAAACAATTTATATCAGTCGACTTCTTGATTTTTCAGGTCTTCCAAAACCTAAGAACGAAGAAAATTTTGAAAAAGAACTTGAAGAATTAATCAAACCTACTTCTATCTATTTTTAAGTATTATATTTTCTACCTTTAATTATTTTATTTATTCTGGAAGGATTAATTTAGATATGTATTAATATCTTTAATGTTTTATAATTTAACCTATTTTGGAAAATATAAATACCGGAGCAAGTATTTAAATGATACTTAAAAGAGGAAATAGTACCGGAAAATTAATCTTTGAAAATGTTAGTACTGAAACATTTCATTTTAAGTTTAATTGAATTGTTCAAATGTAGTATAGCAAATTAGTATATGTAATTTAGATTTAGTAAAAAAATCACTTGGGAACGATTATCAATCAAATAGTATAAGAATGTGTCAAAAAAAAAAAACTAAAGTATAGTAATAGATCCTAACGTAACCGACCCTTAGCCTTAATCCTAACCTTAACCAATCCTTGACTCTAACCCTAATCCATAATCCTAAACTTTTATTATAAACGCGCGTCTTTAATAAAATAGTACGATTGCAACGTCTAAGATAATTCCAATCGTGTGAATTTATTATTTATCTTTTTATAAAATTTGCACATGACAATGAATCAATGAATCATGTGCACATTACAAAGATCAAGTCTGGTGGTGGCGTTTCATTTTTTTTTTTTTTCATCAGAAATGAATTAATTTTTTTTTTTTTTTTTTTAAATTAAAAATCTTAATTATAATTTATAATAATAAATAAATAAATAGATGATATTACTGTAAATAGATGAATTCTTACAATTTATACACAAAAACAAGTAGTAGTAATTCCATTATAAATTCTCTTATTACTAAAAATTCTTCTTTATTTTCCTTCACCTCTTCCTCAAGTTATTTTATCAATATAGATTATTGGTATTTATTTAATAATAATAATAATAGTAATATCAATAACAATAGTAATATCAATTATAATCATAACAATATCAATAATAATATTAGAAATATCAATCATAATAACAATATGAATGGTGGTGGTAATAATAGTATGAATAGCAATAAGTCTTTTTATTATTTTCTTCAAAAGAAACATGATCGAAATTATAGACATTTTCGAAGAAGGTTTAATTCAATGAAGGAAGATCATGATTTTAAAGATTATTATAATAATAATATCAATAGTAATAATAATAATGATAATGATAATGATGGTGGTGAAGAGGAATTTATGAAATTTCCAGATTTAGATCGGAACAAATTGAAGAATGAAAATTTCACCCCCGAAATCATGAAAACAACAGAATTATTAAGTTCCTTTTATGGATCATTATCACGAGGACAATTAAATAATACCTGGAGAGCGTACAGAGAACTTGAACGAAAGAAAGGGAAATATAAGAAAGAGAAAGAAGAAGATTGGTGTTATATATGAAATAAATTTTTCTTCATACCA